CAAAAGCAACACAAAGGTTAAGAAGCGGTAGGGTAACTAGAAGAAAAGCATGCAAGACTTTCCTTAGGAATGGCAAGCTGCTTGCATACGTGAAAAAGGAATAGAAGTACTTCGTGGTTGTACATAGAAGTTACGACTGTAAGAAAAAAATAGCTAGTACTCGCAGTATGTGTTCAGTGTGAAATTCAAGCTTCAAATCAGCGGTGCAGGTCTGTTCCCATTCATTGGAAATTGCTGCGATGCTTTCCTTGCTGTGTAAGAGTGGTTCGAACCATCCATGCTTGCCGGTCGCATTCTCCCGCTGTTTGAGGAGTGTCCGGACCAGTCCAAACTGGATCGGATCCTTCCGCTGATCGAATGAAGCGAGGAATCCAAAGATTGTTTGATCTTTCCAAACACGCGGCTCGAAGAACGACGCGACATGCTAGGACGTTGCTGTCGCTCTCGACCACCACCATGACTCTTTCCGACAAAGTATTTGAGAACCGCAATGTTGTAAGCAAAATCATCGTATGAATCAGATCCTGGTAGTTTATCGATCATAGCGATGCTAAAAATACCATGATTTGTGAAGAAAAACAAGAGAAAAATGAGACGTGATATAATGAGAGTGCTACACCCTCCCGAATCATGCCGTCGCAAATTATGTCACAAGAAACACTGTGCCACTCCATCGCTGCCATCATCTTGTTCGTACGTACACTTGATCGTTGTCACTTTCCCTCAATATTTCTATGACTCTCTTTACACTGATAACATCCAAGCTCTTGTTCTTGTCTTCCATCTTTGGTAATTCAACGTCTGTGTCTGCTGGATCCTCCGCCTTTTCTTTGTCGGCGGCTGCTTTCATCCTTTCCTCCTCCTCTTCTTTCTTCAGTTTTTCCCTGACCTCCTCTTGGACAGTTTCAACAAAGATCAATAGCTCGCTCTTCGAGAGCATAGTCGCCAGTAGGGTAGTAAGACACCGTTCGAATTTCTGGTAGTCCAAGAATAAAGAATGCCGTCCAACACTGCCAATGATGTTTGATTTTTCCACCGATGATGCAAATTTGTGGAAGCGAACGAAATCAGATTTCTCTAGAAGCTGGCCGGCGGTTTTTCGCTTTTTGTGCTTGTATTCGAGCAGGTCTTTCAGCATTTTGTGATAGGAATCGGGCAAGTTTTCGGGCATGTTGGGGAGGTTCCTTAAATTACGTTCGCCGGGTGTGATCTTGTGCATCAAGTTAAAAGCCGTTTGGAGTTTGTCCGAGGGATAGCCGGCTATTAAAACGTACAAACAGACCCCACAAGACCACACGTCTGTTTTCTGCGTGTACGTATTTTGAAACATTTCCGGACTGATATAGAATGCAGTTCCCGCAAAGGTTGTGTGCATGCCATCGACAACCCTGTCGGTCCCAGATCCGAAATCGATGAGCCGCAGCTCGCTGTCGGCAGCCGGAGACACAAACATGATGTTCTCGGGTTTGATGTCGCGGTTAATGACTCCATTTTTGGCGCAGTGATCGACGGCAGAAAGTAGTTGGTATGCGATCCGGGAAACCTCGTCAGTTCTGAGATCCTCCTCTCGTCTGGAGACGTACTGAAACATATCTCCCCCGGCACACAATTCTGTAATGAGATTTATCACTCGAGGTGTTTCGTATACGGCATGAACCTTGAGACAAAAACCTTTTCCGTCTAGTTTTCTCAAAATATCTACTTCGCGCCTCAGCACTTCCGGTTTTAGTGGTGCGTACACGGTGTTGTATTTGAATACCATACCCTTGCGAAGTGTCTTGCACGCCATGGACGACTCGTCGAAATCGCATCCGATATTGTCGTCTTCAATAATGATTTTGCCACTCTTTTCGCTGTGCATAGTGCCGTTTAAGTCATTATGACGTCCGCTCCGTGACATCTCCAATTCTCTCTTTTCCCGTTTCTTAGTTAGATCGTGAACCAATGTCACAACACCAAACTCTCCCTCCCCTAGGATTCGATCTTCGATGAACCGTTTATGATATTCCTCTTCTCCTCCATCCGTGTTGTCCAAAATCAACCCTGAACCTCCAATTTTGCTCATACACGACCCCATGATCGATGATGCTGATCGTCAGTCTGATAAGGCAAGACAAGACGAGACAAGATTTGATTAATTTGATCCGATTGTAGGCACACTTTTATTTATTTTATGCGCACCTGTTCCGGGGGGAGACGCACCAACTTCACTTGATAGCGTAGTTCCTAGGGTTGATAGCGTTGTTTTGACCTGAGTCGGTTTTGCCTTCAGAGATACAAAACAATATCGTTGTTATCGTACCGGGCAATGAAATTTCAAAGTGACAACTAGGAAAAAAAACTTAATTGACACCCTTCTGTCGTTTTTGGTATCTGAAAGGACCTACCGGTAGTATTCGTATTTCCGACTGATAAAAAAAGGAAGAGAGATTCGATCATGAATAATGATGCGGTGGAGGATAGTGTTTGGTCGCTCCGGAAATTCCCAATACGGGAGGGTACTATTACTCTGTTTTCGAGTTGAAGCAATTTACTTTCTTCGCGATGTTTGATTTCTTCATTGCCAATCAAACTTGATTATCCATCTATTAGATTACAACGTATTGCCCCAATATCTATCTTCCGGCACTTCGAGGTTTGCGGAAAAGAGTTATATTATGCATACCTGAGGGGGCTGTGAATTTGAGAGAGCTGATTTCTTTCGGGGGGGGCTACTAGTACGTACCGGTTCGTACTGGTACGAGTACTGTCAAAACTCGACACGCGAGATCGCTGAGATGAGGTTCGATAGGAGGAAGTAGAAGTGCATACAGTAGTACTGGTAGTACCGTACAATTACGAGTACGTACAATTAATAGCACGCGATATTAACACCTACCTAACGCATGTGACGATACTTAGTACAGTACAACATAAACCTCGAGCAACTTCGTCACCGTTCTGTACATTTCGTTGCGTAGTGTTTCGTACCGAACTCGCAACTACATTATCGTACTGTAGGTACATTTTTCATTTTTCTCAAAAGCGAATCGCCGTGAGAACAAAATAGGTGCACTTCTTCATCTACAACCAGAAGGACCCCCCAAAATTCTTACCACACGGCCACGAAGTTCTGAGAAATGTCGGAGTTTGCCGACTTGAAGAGAATTTGAAGGAGATCTTAACCTAACTCGGAAAAAAGGCTTATTAATTTCGATAACGTGAAAACAAAACGCACGGACTGAAGGGGAGTAGAAAAAGGAAAACCCATTCAAAAAGGACGGGGCCCACCAACCGATAGACCGAGAAAATGACAGTCCGGCGACTGGCGTGCAGATTAATTACTCAAGGTATTTTTTGGCAATTGAGTCTCATTTCTATGGCAGCAAACTGCACAGGTGGCCATCTCTCTAGTAGAAGTAGTACTGTGACGTAGCAAAGAACAGCGCTGAGAGGAAAAAAATTGAGAAGTAATTGTGCACTGCGCATGGTACACCAAAAATGGCCCCCTTGTTATTTTCACATGATAATTCTTCAATTCTAGTACGGTACTGTAGTATTCAAAGTTTGCCGTACAAGAAGAGTTCAAAAGATATTGATCACTTGATTGCCAATTTTGAGAAAGCATATGATGAATGCAAAGAGGAGATTCTGAATAGTGTGTTCTTATCCCTTCAAGCATGTATGGAAGCTTCTCTTACTAGTGTCAGAGGTGACAATACTACTAGTAACTAGTACAGGCTTCCTCCTCACATGGGAAAGGCAAATCTGATGCGTCAAGGTATGCTTCCTATTTCAATTATTTGCAATCCTAGTCACATTGCAGAAGGAGGGAGGCAAATGCTTGATGCTGCTGCTGCAGAAGCTCAGGCTGCAGCGGCAAATAGCAGTAGTAATGAAGAGCAGCCATAGTGGTGTTGGTGTTAGCAAGTATTTGTACTACAGCAGTAGTTAAAATAAGACTAGCTTATAGTGGTTAACAACTTTCTGGTACCAAATGTACATAATCCTACATAGGCCCAATAGCAATGACACTCTTTGGGGACCACCAGCAGCAAAATAGGGTCACAATGACACTCATTGGCGGGGACCGGAGGAAGTAGTAACTAAAAGTGTAGTAGTAGTAGTAGTAGT